TCATCCTCCTCCTTCTCCTCCTCCTCCTCCTCCTCCTTCTCCGTCTCCTCCGTTTCCTCCGCCCTCTCCGCCTCCTCCGTCTTCTCCGTTTCCTCCGCCTCCTCCGTCTTCTCCGTTTCCTCTGATTCCTCCGTCTCCTCCGTCTCCGCCTCCTCCTCCTCCTCCTCCTCCGTCTCCTCCCATTTCTTTTCCTCCTCCTCCTCCTCCTCCTCCTCCTCCTCCTCCTCCTCAGTCTCCGTCTCCGTCTCCACCGGGGCCACCTCGGGCTAGGGCCGTTTCTGGCAGCACCCGAGAGGAGGGCAGAGGGCTGACAGCGCACCGGAGCGGAGGGCCCGCCCCTCCGGATGGGCCCGCCCTCCGAGGCGGCAGCGGCCGCGCGCGCGTTGCGCGCCCGGCTTCGCAGCTTGCCTGCGCCGCGACGATGCGGCGGCGCAGGCGCAGGCGTGGCTCGCCGTGGATCGAGGCGGGGCTCAAGAGAAAGGAGTCATTGCAAACGGGGGCCAGTCAGAGCGCCGGATCTTGCAGGATCCTGCAGGGCCAGGGCCGCCCTGACCCGGGCTTGGGTGCAGGATCGTCCTGCAGGATCTTGCAGGGTCTTGCAAAGCCTGACTGACCCGGGTTTGCAATGACCCGGGTCAGTAGATCCCCGAGCTCGCCGTGGATCGAGGCGGCCGATGTGGGTACGTAAAAAATTGGAGCATCGTTGGGACGTGTGTGTTTTTCTCGGCAAGGCCAGCGCCAGAAAATTTGGGCCATCTAGGAGCATGTTGGAGCATCTTGCGGAAGGAGACAAAAAAAAACAAACAAGTTATCCCAGTGCGACCCTACCTAGGAGTTGGAGCCCCTAGGAAAGCAGCATTAGTAGTAACAGTAAAGCTAAGCTAAAGCTAAGCTGAAGCTAAGCTGAAGCTAAGCTAAAGCTAAGCTAAAGCTAAAGCTAAGGTAAAGCTAAGCTAAAGCTAAGCTAAAGCTAAGCTAAAGCTAAAGCTAAAGCTAAAGCTAAAGCTCCCAGGGGACTGAGGGAACCGCTCCCAGGGGACTGGGGGAACCGCCCGGGGCGTTTTACACTGCCCGCCCCTTTTAAGCAAACAAAGTAAGAACCCTTCCAGGCAGAGCCTAGCTAGGCAGGGAACAAACAAAAAACTAGCAAAACCGACAAATGCACGGGGAACAGACGTCCGAGCGATGGCAAGGAATGGAGAACAAGACCGTCAGCAGTTCTTGCCAATGTTGAACAGGACTCGTTGTCGGTGCCGCCACAGGCGATGTCCATTTGAGACAGAAGGCCGCTGGTGGGCATCGCGCCCATTTCTGGTGCCCATGTCGGGCGTCCAAAGTGGAGGAGGCGGGCCCTGAGGGAAGTGGGCCCTGAGATGTTTTTCGCCGTTTCATCTGAAGTTTCCTGGCGTGTTCGGAGGTTCTCGGCGGCATTCCAGCCTCGGGATGCCTTCCAGCGGCTGCGCCTTGTTGAGGGCGTTCTGGGGCTGCCCAGAACGGCCCCCAAAAAAAGGCCGCCAGAGGCACGAGTTACACACTGTTCATTTTTAAGTATTCGGAAGTTCTTTGATTTTTTGGGGGGCAAGATCCTTTTCATTTCTAATTGTTCTATCCTGGGCGTCTTCCTGGCCACCAGGGGGCCAGGAACAATTAGAAACGAGCAGAACTAGAAATGCGCACGATTAGAAACGAACGACGCGTCTGGCTCGAAAACCACGGGGGGGGGAGGAGGGGGGGGGGGGGAACTCCCAAGGGCCCTCCCTGGGCCCCCAGGGGGTCTGTCGGGAAGCGGCTCGGGACGAGGCGCTGGCCCTCGGGGGAAGGCCCTCCTCGGGGCCCAGGGCCCGTGCCTGCCGGGGCCCGCTCCCTCCGCTTGGCCTCGCTCGGACGTGTGCATGTTCCTCTCGGCGAGGACCATCGAGGAGCATCCTTGATCGTCGAGCCGAGGAAAGCACGCGCACGAAGCCGAAAAATGCACGGGAAATGGACGTCCGGGCGACGGCAAGTCCTCCGTTGCCAGGGGGGCGGCGTTGCCTCGGCGCTCTCGCGGCGCCCGGTGGGCCAGGCGCGCCTTGACGGCATCGCACGTTGGGCGCCGGCGGATCTTCCAAGAGCACTCGCCAGCGTGCAGCGTGTGCGCGGCGAAGTGCCTCGCGCGTCTTGGCGCGATTGGCCGCGGAGCGGCTGATACTTTGTCCGGCCGGGCGAAGCCTGGCGAGGCGCTACTCGGGGGCAATGTTAGGGCGGGGGGGATTTCGAGGTTTGGTTCGGAGGTTCGAGGTTTTCGCACGTTGTTGTCTGTTCTCGGCGGTTGTCGGGCCTCGGGATGCGTTCCAGCGGCTGCGCCTCGCCGAGGGCGTTCCAGGGGTATCCGGATCGTCCCGAACGGTCGCCAGAGGCTTGAGTTATGGCCCAAAAACCACCGAGGACGGGGGATCTTTTCCGGGGGGGGGCGCATCGACCCCCAATTGCCCGTTCATCGTTGATAGGGGGGCTTTTCGCCGACATATTGCATCGCAGATGTAGGCTCGAGGTGTTTTCCCCATGAGCAGGTCCCCCCCCCCCCGATCGTTGCCCTTCAATCACGTGGTGGCGCCATCTGGTGGGTGGAGCCGTGCACCAGGGATCTTCGTTGCTTCGCTGGCGTAGTGTCCCTTCAGCAATCCACAGTTTTCCAGCACGGCTGGACCAAGAAAGACCGTCGATCTGTTTGGCGTGTTGAAATGTAGTGAACAGCGTCGTCGCCCTCGGTGCCGTCGCCATCAATACCGCCATCGATGTCAGCGTCAGCATCGTCGGCAGACACAACACGTACGTTTGGCCCGAATGGGTGGCCCAGCATAGCCAAGCCCGCGCCGAGTGGCCAGACGGGTAGAGAAAATGAGTGTGAAGTTGAGGGCGAGGAGGGGGATGATGAGGAGGAGGAGGGGGGGGAGGGGGAGGAGGAGGACTGTGGCGACAGCGACGTGGAACAGGAGGACTAGGTCGAAGCAAGGAGGAGGAGGAGGAGGAAGGAGGAGGAGGAAGGAGGTGGAGGAAGTGGTGGAGGAGAAAGAGAGCGAGCAAGGCGAGGAAGACCAGGGCGAGGACGAGTTTGGGGGTGAGGGCGAGGAGCGGCTGGGAGGGGGAAAGACCTCGGCCTGCAGAGGTTCCACCCACGCAGCCCTCGCGAGGGCGTTTTCCCACCCTCGCCCTCCTCCCCATCATGATCCTCCTCCCTCCTCCTCCCGGAGAGGGAGGCGGACGAGGCGGACGAGGAGGAGGAGGAGGAGGAGGAGGAGGAGGAGGACAGGAGAAGGAGGAGGAGGAGGAGGAAGGAAGATGACGACGACGACGACGACGACGACGACGACGACGACGACGACGACGACGACGACGAGCGGGAGCGGGAGCGGGAGCAGCGACAGCACCCGCAGGAGGAGCAGGAAGGGGGCGAAGGAGATGATGAAGGGACCAAGAAGGAGAAGCGTGAAGAAGGGAGGGGAGGGGATAGGGGTGAAGAGGAGGGGGATGGGGGAGGGGGGAGAGCGGGGGGAGGAGCAGGAGTAGGACGACGAGGAGTAGGACGAGGAGGAGTGGGAACGAGAAGGAGGAAGAGGGCGAGGAGGAGGAGGAGGAGTAGGAGGACTAGTGCAAGCCAAGATTCAATCATCAACGATGTTGGAATACACCCCCGAGGAAAGTGCCCCGTTGGGAGACAACCGTTTGAAGATCCTGGAACGTGCCGAAACACCACTTTCGGAATTTCGACGCCACTAATTTACCTGATTGTTGCGTCTTGACGACCCTAAATCGTGTCAGAACACGTTCCTGGGACATCAACACCGCAAATCAAAATAGCTGTTGCGCCCTGACAATCGTGAATCAGTTCAAAGCATCATGTCTGGTACGCTGACCATGGGAATCCGTGAGAAAGTCTTGACATGTTCAACAACGAAGTGCGCGGCACTGCGGCGAGAGCTACATTGTGAACAGGAACCACCCTCAATCCGTGGAACTACTGCAGCTGTTTAAGTCTGATATGCGCGGCGCTAAGGCGAGAGGCACGTTTCGAAAAGGAATCGCCCTCAATCCGTGAAACCCCTGCAGCTTCTTAAGACGAATTTGCGCGGCGCTAAGGCGAGGGCCACAGATAAAAAATGAGCCGCCCTCAATCCGCGAAACCCTGGCAAAGTTTTGAGACGAATGTGCGCGGCGTTAAGACAAGAGCCTCAGTTTAAAGACCACCCGCCCTCCGTTTACAAAACTGTTGTCAATTTGTAAGTGTCGGCGTCATATGTGGTGAGGACGTCTCAGTCGAAACGCTCGGCCCGCCCTTCCCCGACTGGCCTCGAGGTGCGACAGGAACGAATTGATTATAGGACAAGGAATGGAGGAGAAGGAGGAGGAGGAGGAGGAGAAGGGGCCGGGGCGATGAAAGGGGGGTTGTCGTCGCTACCGTCTTCGTTAATGCCACCGTCACAATTGCATCGCACGCTGTGAAAAATCATGGCCATGGTATTGTACATCATGTCTAAATTAGGTGTCAGCGGAGATCCCTGGGTCAGTCTGAGCTAGTGTGGGTGCTGACGCGTTCTATCCCCGCAGCAAGAGGACGAGCAGCAGCTGCAGCGGCAGGATGGGAAGGAGGGTTGGGGAGTCCAGAGAGGACGAACTCGAGGAAAAGACAGGAGGAGGTGGAGGAGGAAGAGTAGCGGATGAGGAGGACAGCGGAGGCAGCCTGCGACTACTCGATAGTTGGTAATTTGTTGGCCCGGGCCCTCCAGGAAGCCCACTGCTTTCTGGGCCGTTATGCAAGCGACAGGGCGTAGTGGGTGGTGTGTGATCCGCGAGTGGGCCTGCGGACCATCGCTAGTCCGCTAGTCATCGTCATCCTTGTGAATTGCCAATATCGCGAACCACTTTGGCCTGCAGCTGACAGGCAGCCTACACAATGACACAGAGTAGCGCTGACAGCACCAATGGTTTGGCTCATTGACGTAGCAGCAGGCGAATGAGACACAGCCAGGCCGAAAAGAGGATCGACTTTTCCGTCTCTTCATCCTCCTCTTCCGATTGCTGCATGTGGATGTGTCCTCCCTCGGCGTGCATACACATGTGCGGACACCCGTCAAAACATACGAACACCAACAACAAAAACGTCTGGCATTGGAAAGGGGACGGATATGACGAAGGTCAGACAGCCAAGACGATGGAATGAGGACGACTTTAGCCTCAGCAGTGGCTCTGGCCTTCGGGTCGGTCCTGAGATACAGGTCGGGGAACACCTCTTCGTGGCTTGGGCTCGCCGTGGCCAGAAAAGGCCCGTCTTTCCTTGTGTCGCGTCTCGTGTGGTACGGTGGAGGCGTTGGTTCAGGAATGTGCCCAGGAGGCGTCAGACCCTGAAGGAATCCTTGGCTGTTGAGGGCGACGGTGATATCCACGGCAAATGCACGATTGGAGTTCCACCGGCTTCCAGACCCCGGATTCCTTATCCAATGGTTTTCTGTCCAATACCCCCGCCGTAGTACGATGATTGGTTTTGCAATCATTATCCTCGCCCTCCTCATCTCCTCTCCTTTGTGTTCTGACCCCTGGAGGAGCTTCTGCGTAACCTGGCGAGCGGCGACGGGCAGCAGCTCGGCAAGGACCTCGCCGAAGGCCGGCCGCGCGGACCAGTCGGCGCTCCGTCGCTCTTTTTCTGCCGCTTACCTTCGAGGAAGGCCAAGGGGGGGGAAAGGGGGGATGACCAGGAGGGGGATACAGCTGGCACGAGGGCTAAGAACAACCTGGGTCTCGGAGCGGTGCCCTTATGTTCTTCGCCGTTGGGCCCCCCACCTCACGATGTGCTTCCTCCTCGACACCTCCATGCGGTCACTGGCCAGCGGCGCAGGGGCTCGCGCTCTTGATCCGCACTATTGTGGCCCTGTTTCGGCTGTAACATGGCGGGCTCCAGGATAGATGATACCGCCCCTGATCTTATGGCCCCCTCTCCGTCTGTCAACACCCCCCCTGGCCCCCCACCGTGTGGGCCGCGCACGTGCCTCAGGCCATGACTTGCGCACCCCAGCTCGGACGCTCCCGAGTCCTAGCTTCGCGCAGGCACTAGGTGCGACCACCCCCCACCCTGCGGCCCACCAACGACCCACCGGCGACCCAACCGCGTTGCTTTGACGAAAAATCGACGCTCGCGGCGGGCTCGTTGTGTAAATTCGGCGCGGGCGGCGGGCTTGTTCAGAGCTCCGCAGACTGCCGACGGTCCAGCCGCCCCCTCACTCTTCTTCGCAGTTGCGGGGTGCTATCTACATGTGCGCACAACTATTTTCGTTCTCAAGCAGTCAATATGAGGACACTGCCATTTCGATGTTTGGAGATTGCTGCCGTTCGTTGCTCGTGATATGGCTAGGTTGCTCCAGAGCGACGCGGGGTCAATGAGCCGACGGTTGTCGCTGCGGGAACGAAGGCGCCCAGATACTTCACAGCGATGATGAGCCAGCACTCGTAGCTGCGAGCTCGGCGGCACGGATTTTGCCATCGTCAGGCGTCAGACTTACACTTTATTGCATCCACAATGGCACCTCCCTCCTCTCTCTCCCTTCCTTCCTCCTTTCCAACTCCCTCCGCCTGCATATCGCTTTACCTGTCGTTTGCATCCTCCCTCCTCCCTCCGGCCTCCCCCGCTTCTTCCCCCCTCATCTCTGTTTTGCATCCCCCTTCCTTAACCGTCCGTCCTTCCTTCTTGCGCCTGCTCCGCCTGTGGTTTGTTGAGTCCTGCCTCCTCCCCCTGACCCCATACTGCCCCCTTGGCCCCGGACATTACTGCCTTCTGTCTGCTACCCCCTCCATTCTGCCCCTTCTCTCCCGTCCCCCCCTTATTCCCGCTTCCCTCCGCCATCCGCCACTCTGCGCGCACGAAGCGCGCGCGCGATGGTACCAGTTGGAAAATATGTGTGCCTACCTATTTGTGTGTCCCTGGGACCCTTCAGACTGGTGGACGGCGGTGGGGGGGGGGCCTTCTTTGAAAGCCCCCCCCCCCCCCCCCGGGCCTCCACCTCGGCATCCCTCGGACGTGTGCACTTCTTTTTCTCGGCGAGGGCCCTCGTGGAGCGCTGCGGACCACCCTGCGAGAAAGCGCAGAGCAACGCACGAGGCCGAAGCGTGCACGGGCAGTGGACGTCACCGAGCGACCGCGAGCCCCGCCGCGCCCCGCCCCGCGCCCTCTTCGGGGCGTCGAGGCGGGGGGGGGGCCTCTCCCCTCGGGAGGCCGCGCCCCCCCTCTCGCTTCTCAGCGGCCGCGCGCCGCCGGCCTCTCGAGGGGGAGGCTGGAACAAGGGGGGGGGGGGGGGGGGCCAGGAAGTGTTCGGCGGGGGGCTCCCCCGCCTCTCCTCATCCCTCCTGCTCCTGCTCCGCGCCCTCCTGCTCCTCCTCGTCTCCCTGCTCCTCCTCCCGATGAGTTCCTCTCTCTTCCTTCGTTTTTTCCTTCCTCCTCCACCTCCTCCTCCTGCTCCTCCTTGCCCTCCTCCAGCTCCTCCTCATGTCCTCCTCGTCCTCCTGCTCCCCCTCCTCCTCCTCATCCTGCTCATCCTCCTAGTATATACCGATATGTGTACATATATGAATGCATGTGTGTTTGCAAAGACGTGGGAGAGGATATAATGGAAGAGAGGGGGGATAGAGAGAGAGGGATAACAAATGAAGAGAGAGAGAGAACGAGAGACATGAGCACATGCAGGCACAGGCAGAAAAATGAAGACAGAGAGACAGGGAGGCAGCCAGGTAGAGGAGGGAGGTTGTATGGAGCAGGAAGCAGGAGAGAAGAGAAGAACGAGGAGGAGGACCAGAGTGAACCCAAGATACATCGGCGATGTTGCGATAAACCCTCCCTTCCCAAGGCCCCTCCTTTAACGTCCTTACGACTTTTTTATTTTCACAACACAGCGCCCCCTGGAAAGATGAGCACCCGATGTGCCTGCCATTCAGGCGAGAGCCCCGCTTTGGCCAGGACTTGACGCGCATCCGTCTAGCGAGTCATCCGGAGTGCGAATAGCTAGGACCATAAAATCCAGCGACGTTTCCAGCGAGACCCCCGCTTTGAAAAGGAGCCGCCTCCCTCCGTTCAACAAATGATAGCAAATGCGCAAGTGTGGCACGCTTGGCGATTATGGCTATGAGTTGTGAGGAAGTCCAAAGCGAGAGCCACACTTTGAAAAGGAGCCGCCCTCCATCCTTGCAGTTATTGCAAGCGTTGAACACGAATTGGCGCAGCGCTAAGACGAGAGTACCATGTTGAAAAGGAACCACCCTCCATCATTGTAACTCTTACCCGCTTGTGAGAGGCGTGAGCGCGGCGCTACGGCGAAAGCTCAAGTTCGACAAGGAACCGCCCTTGATCTATGCAGTTGCTGCAAAGCTTCAAGACGAGTGTGTGCGGCGTTACGGCGAGAGCCACATTTTGAAAACGCCGCCACCCCGATTACACCCTGGTAGTTGGCACCAAATGATGAAGGGAATATGCGTGGAGCTAAGGCGAGAGCCCCATTTTGACCCTCCAGCAGCACCCCTCCATCCGCGTAACCGCTGCAGCTTCCAAGCTTGAGAATCATAAATGATATGGAAGTCTCAGGCGAAACGCCCGAGCCGCCCTACCAATACGCCTGAGGCTGCGACAGGGAGGAGTTCTATGTGTGTATACATATATGCACACACATGGAAAATAGACGGAGTGAGCACCTACGAGGAAGAGGAGAAGGACGCCAGAGGGAAGATGATGTGGAAGAGGAGGCAGACGACGACAATGACGAGGAGAGAGAAGGTGAAGAATCAATCTAGGCAGCCATCCTCGTCCTCCAGGGTCCTCTCCATATTTCTGCGGATCCTCTTCGTATGGTTGTGTCTCTCGTTTCGAATGTGGTTGCTCTCCAGCGTAAGTAAATCCTCAGAGCTTGCATTGTGTATATGCACAGCTGCTGTACCTGTCCTTTGAAACACATACACATACGCGCGTGTGTGTGTGTGATAATATCAACAAGGAGCATGCCGCGCCAAGTCATTGTGCCTAGGACAGGCGCAGCCCCACGGTTTCAGGAGTGTCATTGCGAAACGGTTGCAGTGGTTTCAATGTTGTTGAGCCGCGTTCGTCTGATGTGGTTATACTTCCAGTTTGTCCTGGCTCTTATCGTCTTGTGTTGTTTCGGTGTCCCCCGCACATCTTGCTTTCCAGTCTCTTTTACTGCTTGAGTCCATCCCATTATTTACCTCACAACTACCTCCTCAACTCATTCATCTCTCCTGCCATCAATCATTATTCCTACCCCCCAGCTCCTCCTTCTCCTTCCCCATCCTCGCGCCCCCTCCTCCCTTTCCCCCAGCATCCTCCTCCCTCCCTCAATCCCCATTCCCAGTCCCCCCCCGTCCCGCCAGCCCTCCCGCCCTCTCCACCTCCCTGCATCCCTCCTCCTCCTCCTCCTCCTCCTCCTCCTCCTCCTCCGCCTCCGCCTCCCCCTCATCCTTCCGAGCTCTCATCAACCCCATCACATCTCGGCAACTATGCTCATCATACCGCACTCCCATGGCACGCGCGCTATTCCCCCTCCTCTTCCTCCTCTTCCTCTTCCTCTTCTTCTTTTTCTTCTTCTTTCTCCTCCTCCTCCCCTCCTCCTCCTCATTGTCCTCATTGTCCTCCCCTCCTGCTCCTCCTCCTCCTCATTGTCCTCCTCCTCCTCCACCACCTCCTCCTCCTGCTCCTCCTCCTCCTCCTCCTTCGCCTCCTCCTCCTCCTCCTCCTCCTCCTCCTCCTCCTCCCTCCTCCTCCTCCTCCTTCTCCTCCTCCTCCTCCTCCTCCTCCTCCTCCTCCTCCTCCTCCTCCTCCTCATCCTCCCCATTCCCCCTCCCCCTCCCCCACTCCGCCCGAAGGCATCGCCGACGCCCTCGGCAGCACCGACGGCGGCCAGCGGCGAAGAAGCAGCGGCAAGCTACCCCGGGAGCCTAGCCTCGCACGCTCCGCTTGGGAGCAGCGGGCCTTGCAGGCGGGCCCTCATCGGCTCGCCCGCCGCCCCCTTTGCCCTCCTCCCCTCCTTCCTCCTCCTCCCTCCTCCCTCCTCCCTCCTCCCTCCTCCTCCCTCCTCATCCGCCGTTCTCCCTCCCTCCTCCTCGCGAGCCGTAAAGCTGTTCGAGAGCTATCACATTGCATGCACGAGACGCTTAGGAGCCCAGACGCTACTGGGGCGTCGAACAGCAGCCAAAGAGCGGCCGCAGGGCCCATCAGGACCCGTCTGGCAGCAGCTCCTCGTGAGCCACCGCACGCGACCTCCTCCTCCTCCTCCTCCTCTTCCTCCTTCTCCTCCTCCTCCTCCTCCTCATTGTCCTCATCATCATCATCCTCATCATCATCATCATCATCATTGGCAGCAGCAGCAGCAGCATCAGCATCAGCATCATCATCATCGTCATCATCATCATCATCATCATCATCATCACCATCACCATCATCAACATCATCATCATCATCATCATCATCATCATCATCATCATCATCATCATCATCATCATCATCATCATCATCATCCCTTTCCTCCCGGCCATGGTGGAGTATCTAGCCTATACGTACACTGGTCAGATCGTTGACCGACGTTGCCTCGGATAGACCGACTTCATGGGCACGGTGAACCTCGCGCGCAGGAGTCCTGAGCGGCAGGTCAGCTCCAGGTCGCCGTATGCATGTGTGGCGTTATTCGCTCAAGTCTGTTCATGTTTTGAGCACATCGAGGCTGTCATGCACATCAAGGCGCACCGCTCGAACCAGGAGTACGAGAGGTTCGATGCGGAGATGAGGAGGATCACAGACGGCAACATCATGGCAGACGTCAAGCAAAAGAAGGTGCCGCGCGGCATGAGGTGATCGGCTCGGATTTCGCGGAGGCCATCGAGAAGGCATCGACGCAGACGATGATTTTGTTCAAGCTGGTTGTTGCCGTCCTTCCCCTCTTCGACAAGGAAGAGAACGAAAGATGGACGAGACGACCGATGACGACGAAGAGAGTCAGGAGTACGCGGATGGAGGGCTGGCATCAGTGGGAGGATACCGAGCTAGGGAAGCAGTGCCAGGCATGCCTCAAGCTGCACACCCCTGGGCAAGAGCTCGTTCTCACAGGTCGCACGGGCACGCGGACTTTCCTGAACGAGTACTTGGTGCAGCCGCTCGGGCACTGCCCCATCGCGGTCAACCAGCAGGGCAAGGCGCTGTGCACGGACGCGGTCCCCACGGTGTTCGTGTGCGTACGGTGTGGAGCTTGGGCACAGCAACGGCGGCGCGAGAAGCTTCGAGCGACGTGCACGCAGCCCACCATCAAGGCGCGCGAAGTCGTGGCGAACTTCTGCCGAGGGCTCGGGCCGCACAAGACGCTGGCAAAACACATCGTCACGCTAGTGCCTATGACGGTGGTCCATCGACGGCAAGCCCCAGTCCCCAAGGAGAAGACGACCATCGTCACTCCAGTGGCCACTGAGGAGTACAGCTACGAGAACAGGATGGCTGCGCTGGTTGGGCACATCAGGGCAAAGGAGAAGCGAGACCCAGAGGAGGAGCAGGACCACAACACGATCCTCGGGCATACGGTGCTGGGTGGTCAGGGGGCTCCCGCAGCACCACCACGGCGCAGGATACAGGGCAAGACAAAGGTGGCGAGGTATGCGGCTACGGCGGCAGCGGCACCGAGTCCTACGCCGGCGTCAACTCCGCCGAGTACAAGGTCAGCACAGCCATTATTGCAGGAAGAGGCTCCTGACGGGCCCAGAGTGCATGACAGGATGGAACGATTGGGATTGGCTCGGCACCCCGATCACGTGTGCAACAGGACCTCTCTCGATGGCGTCAGCGACGAGATGCAGGGGAAGGCTGGGTCCCGACCTGGGCGAGGTGCACGCGAGCATCCTGAACACAGCAAGTGGTACCGTCGGGGGGCTTCTCCTGCAGCACCCCATGCCGGGCGAGGGCATCGGCCTGATGGTGGTGAAGCGGGGCACTCATCACCTAAGACGGCGACTCCGAGAGGCGAAGGGTCACCTGCTGCAGCGGCAAGTGGCCGAGTACAGCGTGGGCTGCGCCGAGGAGGCCACGCTTTCACCCTGCCAGGCGATGGGATAGGCCTGATGGTGCTGACGCTAGGAGCTCATCACCTACGACGGCGACTCCGGGAGGCGAAGGGTCACCTGTTGCCGCGGCAGGTGGCCCAGAACGAAGCGGGCTGTGTGGAGAAGTTCAGCACGCTGTCCCCTTCGCCAGGCGAGGGGTGAGGCCTGATGGTGCTAAAGCGGGAACCTCATCACCTACGTCGGCGACTCCGAGAGGCCACTTGTTGCAGCGGCGGGTGGCCCAGAGCAAAGCGAGCTGCGTCGAGGAGGCCAAGCACGCTGTCCCCCTGCCAGGCGAGGGGCGAGGCTTGAAGACGATGAAGTGGCGAGCTCATCACCTACGACGGCGTGGCTGAGAGGCGAAGGGCGACTTGCTGCAGCGGCGGGCGGCCCAGAAGACGGTGAGCTGCGACATCGAGAAGGCCATGCACACGCACCCCCTGCCAGGCGAGGGGTTGGGCCTGATGGTGGTAAGGCGGCGGGCTCATCACCTATGACGTCGGTTTCAGGAGAGTAGGTCCACCTGCTGCAGCGGCAGGTGGCCCAGAACAAAGTCGGCTGCGTCGAGCACACTCCCCCCCACACTGCCAGGCGAGGGGTTAGGCCTGGCGGTGCCGAAGCGGGGAACTCATCTTCTACTACGGCGACCCCGAGACGCCATTGGCCAATTGCTGCAGCGGCAGGTGGCCACGCAGAAACCCTTGCCAGGCAAAGGGGTAGGCCTGAGGGTACTGCTGGGGGCTGGATGTGAACTACGAGTACTTCCTCATCGTCCTGCTGCTCGGCGGCCACTTCACGCTGCCCCGCTGAGGGCAGAATGGGCTGACGCCCGAGCCCCGCGGTCCGCGGGCTTGTTTTTTCTTTCGTTCTTTCCTCCTCTTCCTCCTCCTCCTCTTCCTCCTCCTCCTCCTCATCGTCTTCCTGCTCCTCCTCCTCCTCCTCCTCCTCCTCCTCCTCCTCCTCCTCCTCCTCCTCCTCATCATCATCATCATCATCAGCAACATCATCATCATCATCATCATCATCATCATCATCATCATCATCATCATCATCATCATCATCCTTCTCCTCATCCTTCTCCTCTTCCTCCTCCTCCTCCTCCTCCCCCTCCCTAGAAAAGCCCGTGGGCGCCCGAGTGGGCCCCCGCCCCCGTCGCCATGGGGGGCCCCCAGGCGTTGGGACCACGGCCCCAGGTTACTAGAACTGGAAGAATTATTCCCTGGGCCTTCAGGAGGACCGGGCATTCCCCCTCTCTTCTGATTGTGAATTCTACCGCTCAATTACAAGGGCGGCCTGGCAGGGGCAAGGGAGGAAGAGGGAGAGGGGAGCGGGGGGCGGATGACGGGGGGGTCGGTCGGGGCAGCCGCGGGGGCCTCGGTGCCCCAGCGCGGCCGCGTTGCCGGGCGGGGCGGCCGTTGTGGAGGCCGAGCTGGGTGGGCCAGCGGGCCGAGGAGGCGGCGACCGCAGGCGTCGTCGACGTCGTCGTCGTCACTGCGGTCGTCGGCGGAGGGGTGCGGAGGCGGGGACGGCGGAGCGCGGGTGGCGGGAAGCAGCAGCTGCCCCCGTCGTCGGCGTCGTGGACACGGCGCTGCTGCCGGCGTCGGTGCTGTCGCGGGCGGTCCTTCAGCGGCGGCGCCGAAGCGGCGCTTCAACTGCCCGGCTGGGGGGGGCTCACTGTCCGATGGCGCCGAGCACCATTTCCGCGATGCCGCGCTGGAGTTGCCGCGACAGTTGTCTCCATAGGCCGCCGAGCGCCTCGCCCTGGTCCGCTTCGTCGACGCAGTGGCCGCAAGCCCGGATGAATTCCGCGGCCTCGTCAGACAGGCGCCCGAGCGTCTCAAAGACCAGCGGGGCGAAACACCCACTCCAGGGGGGCGCTGGGTCCGTTTCGTCCGCACCGTGGCCGCCGCAGCGACGCCATCGTTTTTGGAGCACGCTTGCCTGCGAGGGGCGTAGGTAGAATATTCGCAGGTAGTGCTCCTATCGACGAAGACGTCAAGACCTGTGGCGGGGTCACGACTGCCGATGTCCAACTTGGCAGCCTCGAGAACGCCAGTGCGCTGTTTGACGCGGTCCCAGGCTGGGACGAGCGAGCTGTTCAGTGGGAGCAGCGAAGCCTCTTCGCGTCCCAGTCCCGCATGGCGTCGTGCCGAGCGGTGCGAGGCTGCCCCACCTCGCAGCACCTCGCGTGCCACACCCGCCGGTCCGAAGCCACGCCGCACACAGTGCCGTCTTCGCGTCGGCGTTGGCTGACGGCGCCTGGTGGGCAAACGTCGCAGCGGAGACGTAGCTTCAGGGCGGTCAAGAAGTGTTTGTCGGGCATGGTTGGATCCCTCTCCTCGGCGGAGACGACGAAGCCTCCAGCCCTGGTGCCGCCCGCGCCGCGGAGCGCCACGCGGTCTTCCTTCTCGAGCACCCCAAGCAGTCGGGCGGCCCTGGTGGCGGCAGAGCGCGCCTCGCCCCACGTGCCCTGCAGCTTGGCGACGGGCTCTTGGAAGCGCCCCAGCCAGTCAGAATCGCCACCCATGGCCCCCTGGGCCCCGAGGTCAGCTTCCGCTTCCATGAGAGCTTGGTGCGTCAGGGGGCACTGCGCCCGGAAGTCCTCCCAGCTCGGGAACCCGGCGGCGCGAGCCACCTCCTTCAGGGTGAAGGCCCAGCTGGCCGCGTACGCTTCGGAGGGAGATGCCGGGGCCGAGGACAAGGAGATGCCGCCGTCTTTGAGACGCATCGTGGCATGCGCGCGCTGCCCGGGGTCCAGAGCGGCCCCGAGGAGTTCTTCCAAGCTGGCGAATATCACGTACGTCGTCGAACTGGTCCACCCAGGTGAGGTCGCGGTTGGCTCGCAGGTGGTTGCGCCTTGAGCGTAGGTGCGGAGTAGCGTGAAGGTTGCCTCTGCCGAGAGGCCCGCAGCGCGCAACTCGTGGAGGCGGCCTGTGAACCTGACTGATTCGGCCACCGCCGCAGCGCCGTCTGTGCCGGCGTGGACCCGGATGCGTTCGTCCTATTGACCCAGCCACGGCGTCGCATTCCCCAGACAATTCAAGCGCGGCATTCGGAGCCCAGCGAGAGAGGAGGGGAGGCCCGCGTTGGCATCTTTGGTCCAAGCCTGCGTCTTCTCTCTTTCGATATGCAACCCGTCCTCCTCTTCCTCCTTTTCTCATCTTCCTCCTCCTCCTCCTTTTCCTCCCCCTCCCCCTCCCCCTGTTCCTCTTCTCTCCTCCCTCGGGTCCCCCTCTTCTCCGCCAAGCATTGGAGACAGCTCACTGGGATGTTGGGAGGGGCAGGGAGGGGCGGAGAAGCAGGTGAGAGGAAGGGGGTGGAAAGGGGAGAGAGCAGAGGAACAAAAAATCGGAGGAGATGTTTTCGTCCCTTTCCCCTCCACTTCCTCGTCCTACTTTGGCTTGTCGCTCTCCTCACCCTCGCAGGAGGGAGGGAAAGTTCGAGGGCGGACGGGGGCGAGGCCGCCAGCCGCGAATGGCGAAGGGCGGCGCACGACGGCAAGAGGGGGCCGCTGGGGGCCCTGCTGGCAGGCAGCCCCCCCACCGCGCCGTTGGTCGTCGTCGTCGTCGTCCCCGCTGGCGGGGCGCTCCTCGACCTCCTCCCTCGCCCTCCTCCTCCTCCTCCTCCTCCTCCTCCTCATCCTCCTCCTCCTCCTCCTCCTCCCCCTCCTCCTCCTCCTCCTCCTCCTCCTCCTCCTCCTCCTCCTCCTCCTCCTCCTCCTCCACTTCCAGTCCTTGAAAACTAATTCCTCCCTGTCGCACACCGAGGCTGGTCGGAAGGTCGGGCCGGGCGTTTCGCCTGAGATTCTTTTATTGTCTATAATTCTGGATCGTAAAAATTGTCAGCAATTTCACAAATGGAGGGCAGGCAGGCCGCTTCCAAAATGGAGGTTTCACATTAGCGCCGCGCATACTCGCCTCAAAATCTGCAGGAGCTTCACGGATCGACGGCGGGTGGTTTTCAACATGTGGTTCTCGTTTCAGTGCCGCGCACATTCGTAGTAACAAGTGCAAGAGCTTCACGGATTGAGGGCGGGCCGTTTTCAAAATGTGGCTCTCTCCTTGGCGCCACGCGCATTCGTTTTCAAAATAAATTGCAAGGGCATCACGGATGAGGGGCGGATCTTTTTCGAAATGTGGTTTTGGATTTAGCGCCGCTCAATTGTTTGACGAACATTCAACCGTTTCACGAATTCCCCATAGTTAACGTACCAGAAGAGGTGTTGTGAAACGATTCAGGGTTGTCCGGGCGCAACAGTTACATTGAGTCGTGGCGTCGAAGTCCCAGGAATGTTCCTGGCACGATTCAGGATCGCCAATATGCAACAGTCAGACTGATTCGTGGCGTTGAAGTCCTGAGAATTGTATCTGGCACGCTTCAGGATCTTCAAACGGTTGTCTCCCAACGTGGCACTTCCTTCAGTGGAAATGAACCCGTCTAGGGGCCAGCGAAGAGGGAGCTTGCAGGGAGAATTGATTCCAACATCGCTGATGCGTCCTAGGCTTCCTCCTCCTCATCATCCTCCTCTTCATCCTCCTCCTACTCCTCGTCCTCCGTCTTGTCCTCCTCCTCCTCTCGTTCCGCCATCCCCCCCTTCATCACTACCGGCATCAGCATCATGTTCATTATCACGGTCACTTTCGCAGTTTTCAGAGCTTTTTTCGACATCATCGTCATCACCACCACCACCATCGTCAGAATCATCTTCATCGTAGGCATCATTCTCGCCACAACTAAATTCATGTCATTCGTCATCACATGTGTCGCCATCATCGTAATTATAGTCGTCGTCGTCGTCATCAGCATTGTCACCATCGTCAGCATCACCATTAGCATCGCCACCGTCATGGTAATCTGGATCCCCCCCTCGTCCTCTGCCTCATCCTTATCACCCTTTTCGCTCGTACTTCTCGGCTTTTCCCCCCTCCTCCTCATCCTCGTCGTCTTCCTCCTCCGAGGAGGAGGAGGATGTGCACTCTCTTTTTCTCGACTCCGTAGCGTTTCGGCTCAATCCCAAGCCTGTCCCTGTCATCAGTTGAGAGGTAGTCTACGTGGGCTCGCGGCGTTGCGAAGCTGATGCTGTATCACCTCGATCTCTCACCGCAGGCCAGCCCCGGGAGAGGCGACGGTTGCAGATTCATAGGCGAGGAGGTTCGCCAGTCCACCAGGACAGGGCAGGCCCCACTTCGTGATCGGGTGGCGTGCTGGTTGAAGCGGGTCTTGTCCGTGCTCAGTCAGGCTCTTAAGCATGGGCAGCCTCAGAGCGGGAAGCGTGATGTCGATAGCATCCAGCACGCATCTCCGTCAGCAGACAAAGCACGAGCTCTTGGGGCACATCGCTTTCTCGAGACAGGTCGCGTCGCTAGTGGTAAGATGTGGGCCACGGTGCTGCTCAACTTGCATGGTCTTGCGGATCCTGTTCTCGAGTCTTTTCGTGATCAGACCTCACGTTTGGCCAAGCGTAGTCAGCGGCGTGCGGTCCACGAGCCTTTCGCCGAGTTCCAGGACTGGGCTGTGCAGCAGTCGGCCGCAGGAAGGCTTCATCGCAGTACGAGAGAGGAGCCGCTGCCACAGCTGGAGCTTCACAAAGGCACGGAGTTCACGGTGATCCCAGGGGCATCATGGACACTAAGGGTCGGCGCTGGCAAGAAGTGTGCGCCCCCCACGTTCTGGACGAGGCGATAATGAAGAAGGCTTTTGATGCTGCCCCTCTGGCGGCAGAGCAGGAGCCGCTCGAACCCATCACCGCCGTTGAGGTCAGGCGGGCGGCTCACGCCATGAAAGCCAATACCGGCTTGGGCGATGATCGGGTGACGCCAATCGACGTGGAGCGTTTGTTGACGGACGCGCTCGTTGAGTTGGCGGAGCTGTTCAACGCCATCGAGCGCACGCTGGCGCGGTCTAACCACACGCAGCTCATCGTCGGTAAGCTTCTCCCGAAGAAGCTGAGCGGAGACCGGGCGATCGGCCTGGCATCCGTCTCGGAGCGATTGGTCGCTCATTCGCCAAGGTCGTGTTCGGAAGTGGTGAAATCTCGTGGAGTCCAAGTGGGACGCCGCCACCGCAGGGAACGCATTCCTCAGGGAGGCGTTTCACTGCACGTTGCAAGAGGAGATTGCCGGTGCTCTGGGGGCTCCGCACCGGCATGGACTAATGGACGTCAGAGGATTCTCTGGTAGCATCGAATGGGATATTATTGTGCAGGTTTCTCCCAATGTGGAATTTCATATTGTCATCATGTTTTCCAACTATCCCAATGCATCTGGCTTGAAACATGTCCAGTTGCAAATTGCCCCAAAGCCGCGTATCGTTTGTTCGCATCATGGCGATGCGAAGGAGATCGCCAGGCAGATAAAGAAGCGGAGCTACGCGGTGCACGCTCAATTTCAGGCGAGCCCCCTCGGAGTCGACCAGGGAGGCGGACGGCGCGCGGCTCGAGAGATGCGGACCAAGAGGGAGGTTAATCAGTCGAAGCTTCACTCCAGGGCGGCCCGGTTCGCGAGGGCGCCCAAGCGGCTACGGGCCACGTCGAGGCCAGAGCGCCTGGGGGCTCAAGCAGCAGGCACGCACGGGCAGTCCTTCCACGGCACCGACCGACAGAGGCTCCAACAGCGTCGACGTGGTCCAGCGGCGGCCCGCGGCGCTGGAGGGGAAGGCCCACGCATCACGTCGTTGCTGGCCGCGAGGGCACGGGGGCAAGACCCAGGTGTCAAGCTGCCGCATGGTGTGGCAGCGCTCTGGGTGCAGCAGCGGTTCGCGCACCCGCGCATTCGTCCGTCTGGGCATCGAGCGCGGCCCGTGGTGCCGAGGCGATTGGAGGCTATTTCTGCGGCAGTGGGACGCAGGACGGAATGGGCATTCGTCTCTGCAGCGGCTGCTCCGCCACCTCGAGGCGCTTCCTCGAGGACGGCGACTTGCCGAGATCTCTTGGCCGCGCGAGCATCGAGCAGCAGCCTCCACGAAGATCGCGGCGCGCCAGGAGCGCCCTCGGCGTCGAGACCAGATCGAGACGCCGCATCAACGCAATTGGGGTTGCGAGGAAAATCTTGACGCGGAGGCCTATCGGCGATCAGGCGGTCTACTTCCAGCTGCGATGGCGCAGCACGAGGTCGACCAGGCCTTCTGGCCGGGGGGCTCGATGCCGCGGGAATGGACTGCAGCCCCGCCCCCTTCTGCGCAAGAGGCGCGGCGCGAGAGCGGCGCGCTGCTCAGCTGCGTGCGACGGATGAAACGAACAAAAGCATATGTCCCCGAGCGGTGGGCTGAAAGGGATATCGGCACGCGTCGGAGAAGTCTGTCGCCAGAGATGTGCTGGGCATGTTGTGCTTTGTTTGTCAAGCCACATCTGTCTGCTGCTGCTATGGCGACCACGGGCACCCCGAGCTGGCTCGCCTGCGGAAACGCCATGGCCGACGTCGCGGCAGGCGAAGCGGCTGCAGCGGCGCGCGTGCCCGAGCAGGAGCACGCTCGAGACGGCCAGGTCGAGCATCGCGCCTTCCTGGTGCGGTTACGCGGAAGCTTCGCGCAGCCGTCGACGCGACGGCCGCGGAGGAGAGCAGGCTCGGCAGGAGAAGATGTGCAGCAGAGAAGGAGGTGCTCGCAGCGAGGGTAACCTGACTCCCCTCACTCCTCCTCCCCCTGCGCTGCCTGCCTGGCCTCCGCCGTGCCCCGAGGCCGTCTCTGTGCTGGCCAGCAGCCATGCACTGGACGATTCGGGGCGCCGGTACCGCAGGTGTCAAAGCTTTTCGTCGGTTTCGGAGCGTCGTCGTTGGAGGGCTTTCCCCTGCTATCAGCTCGTGGCCTTGAACGGCCCCCATTACGACCCTTCCCCAGGGGGGCGAAGTTGCACATCGCTGGGGGCTGGGTTCACGGATCTCGCAAATGAGGTAATACGAAGATGTGGACGTTCGGCGTTGTGCAGCGTGCGGAATGTTTGGTGAGCAGCAGCTGTAGGGCACGGATAAAGAGTATCCATCGAAGGCGACACCAACCCGAGCTGGTTATTTCAACGAGAAGTAACGAGTCGTGGTGGCCCAAAGTCTGTAGCAAGATTGAGACTGCTAAGACAGCAGAGAAGGGGCCCCCAGTTTGAAGGCGTCAAGGACTTGGACGCCGTCCTGGAATAGTTACTCTTACTCTTACTCGTCCTCCTCTTCCTCCTGCTCCTCCACCTCTCCTCCTCATTCCCATCATGATCATCATCCTCATCACCGTCATCATCATCATCATCATCAGCAGCAGCAGCATCATCATCCCTTTCCTCCTCCTCCTCCTCCTCCTCCTCCTCCTCCTCCTCCGTCTCCTCCTCCTCCTCTCCTCTTCCTCATCATCCTCCTCATCATCCTCCTCTTCCTCCTCCGCCTCCTCCTCCTCCTCCTCCTCCTCCTCCCCCTCCCCTGTCCTTCTTCTCCTTATCCTCATCTCCCTATGCACACCCTCGCTCTTCTTCCTCCCCCTCGTCACCCGCCTCCCCGTCCTTCCCGCACGTCCCCATTCGCCGCCCTGGTCCCAATCCTATTACTCTCTTTTCGTCCTCGCTATGTCCCTTGCCATGTTCATGCTCATCCTCAGCCTCGATGCCCTCGCACCCAGCTCCCGTGCACCCTCGTCGTTCGTTACCACAGAGGCCTCACGGCCCCCTCCCCCGATCTTGAAACGAGGACGGCGGGGCCGCACGAGGCAACGGACAGCGCTAGAATCTGATGCAGAATCTGATGCCCTTTTCGGCCCTCCCTGCCGCTGCGTTTGGGTCGTGCTGCAGAGGCACGGGGGGGGGGGGGGGAAAGACTCCTGGGGGCTTTGTGGCCCACTCGGGCGCGTCTCGGGGCCTCCTGGGGGCATCCCTTGCGGGTCCTCGGGTCGTGCTGAAGGGCCGGCTTCCAGCGGCGCGGTGGTAGTTCGCTTTTTGGTCCCCCCTTCGGGCCGCTTTGGGCCATCGTGGAGAGCAGGCAAGCTCAAAAAAGCGAGAGCGCCCATAGACATGCGTACATACAACTATGTGTATATATATATATATATATGCGTATATGTGAATATATATATATATGTATGAATATGTGTATATGTGTATGTGCATGCGTATACGTTGTTGTGTATATATGGGTGTAGCTCTCTCTCTCTCTCTCCCTCGCTCTCTGTCTCTTTCTCTCTGTCTCTCTCTCTCTCTCTCTCGCTCTCTCTCTCTCGATGTATAGATATAAATGGAGTGTTGCATGTGTTGTTGCATGTTTGTATATCTCTCTTTGTCCTCCGAAAATACATGTTATACACACACATATATGTCCGTATAGAAATATGCATACATATACATAAACATACATATTTACATAGACACATACATAAACGCATGCAAACATGTATAATAATATTAACAAGAATAATAAATTGTATTAATGAGAACAAAACATGCATGTCACTTAAATTATACACGCAACAAAAAAACTCCATCAAACATATATATATATATGAACAAATAAATATATTAGGCAGGCAGACCTGCAGACAGGCAAGCATACATATTCAAAGCTGAGGACGTCACATGAGATTACCTCTCGGAGCCCTCTTGGGGCGTCTTGGGGGGCTTTCAGGCTGTCTCCAGGCCCTCGTAGACACCTCGGGGCGCTCTTGGGCCACCTATGGTCCCCAGCTTCCGCCTCAGAAAGCGCCGCGCGGGAAGCCCCAAGAGCGACATTCGGGGCTGCGGGGTTATTGAAAATAGTATGACAGCATTCAACGCAGAGGACTCGAAGGACCTGAGGACAACATTTCGCGTTTCGGGACACGGTGGCCGATATCTCTGGACACAAGATTTAAAGATGTCTCGGGCGAGAGCTTCATTTTGAAAAGGAGTTGTCCTCCGCCCGTATAAGACCGCCAAACAAGTACGTGCATATTTCGTGTAATACGTGTCAAAAAAAGGGTATGGCGAAAGCCCCCTTTATGAACATGAAGATTCTCTCATCCTGGTAACTGCGCGCGGGGCGAAGGCGAGAGCCCAATCTTGAAGACTGCTCGCTATCCAAACTCGTGTTTTTTTGTTGTTCAAGATGAACGTGTGCGGAGCCAGGACCAGAGCCCCATTTTGAAAGCGACTGGCCCTCCATCCGGGTAAGTGATGGATATGTTGATAAAGGCCACCATTCGTGTCATTGCTGGGAAGTTCAAGTTTCCAGGTCGTGCAAGGTGGGGAATTCTCAGGCGAAGCACCTGGCCCGCCCTGACGACACATCTGATGGTGCGAAAGGAAGAGATACGTATAAGGAAGAGCCTTGGAGCAGGAGGAGGAGGAGGAGGAGGAGGAGGGGGAGGGGGAGGGGGAGGAGAGGGTAGCCAGGGAGGAGGAGCGACAGAAGGGGGAAGTGTTCGAGGAGGACGAGGACGCGGAGGAGATTGAGG